CAACAGGAGATCTTGGAGTATTTCCCTTCCCAGCAGTAATTGTACTGAAAAAGTTTCTCCTTTGTCTAAAAAATTGCAAGATAGTTTAAAGGCACTAAATTTACACTCACTTTATAGAGCAAGATGGACAATAGAACACACTATTTGTAACAGCCAAACTCTGGAAGACATTTGGACAAAACTCAATCAAATTATTAGGCACAATGAACTTCCATCTTGTAATGCTACAATTCAGAGGCATTTAGGCCAAATATGGGTGTTCTGTGATATTATGTATTGTGAATATGTGGGAAGTCTTCTTAAAGGAAGATTAGCTCTTTCTGGAAAAATTAATTTATTTGTGCATAAATATGGTGTTATTTTTAGTATGTAATAAATTCCACTGATTGTCAAAAAGAATATTCTGAATGAAATGAATATGGATTGAAATAGATGAAATAATTTTTACAGATTTTTAAATTTTTAGTGGCTTTTTAGAATTCCTAGGCTTGTCAATTAAGTCAAGAACTTTCTGAGTTCTACTTATTAGCAGCCTTCTTTTAAATGTGATAAATTATTGTTTACACTGAATATGAAGGTAAAAATGTTCTGTGCCTTTCGTTTTGTTACAAACTGTGATTGAATTAGTCTTATGAATTAAGTTGTATAGTTTGGATTTTGGTTAATCTCTAAAATCTAATTTTACTGTAGTTTTTTCTTTACTCACCTCAAGTGTAATTTTTTAAAAAATAAAACTCAAAACAATTCTCTTTGGAATGCTATTTATGTGGCATGAATGTAATTCAAAGTGGGAGACCAGTCTAGATTCATTATGATGTTTCCAAATATATGTAATAATAATTGATAGGCTGTTTTCAAACAAAGATACAAAATGTATACTTCGCCTAAAACTATAATGTATCTTTAAGACTATAAACTGTTTTGAAGGAAAGTATCAAATGTTGAATAAGGGATCAAACTATTGTCTATTTCTTCTAATACAGATAATTCAGTATTTATGATAGTTAGTGCTAATTATTACTTGGCTGATGATTAGAGTCATTGTAGGTTCCCCATAAGCATAATCTTGTAATTGGTTTTACACATCACCTCATAAAAATGCTCAAAGGGATTAAAACAATAAAAGTTTTGTACAAGCACGTATATTTGTTTAATATATTTAAATGCCTACTTTGCACTAGGTGGTAGGATATATTAGGGAAGGAGACAGACATGGACCTTGCCCTCATGCAGCTTACATGTCGTTACTACTATTAAACACACCAGCTCCCTAAGAAAAATAAGGGTGCACTTACTAGGAATATAGACATGTTTACCTTGAAGCACAGTGCCTATCATGGTAGGAGCTTGGTAATGCATGGTAAATGTTCCCTTCAGAGGGATTCTTCATAGCCTGAGATGGCTGAGGTTGCTTAAAATGGAAGTCCACTGATTTTGTTTTTCTTTCTAACTTTTATTTTAGGTTCAAGGGGTACATGTGCAGATTTGTGATATGGGTAAATTGTGTGCCACAGGGGTTTGGTGTACAAATAGTTTTGTCACCCAGGTAATCAGCATAATACCCAATAGGTATTTTTTTAGTCCTCATCCCCCTGTCACCTTCCACCCTCAAATAGGCCTCAGTGTCTATTGTTCTCTTCTTTGTGTCCATGTATACTCATTGTTTATCTGTCACTTATGAGAGTACGTGGTATTTGGTTTTCTGTTCCTGCGTAAATTGGCTTAGGATAATGGCCTGCAGTTGCATCTGTGTTGCTGCAAAGGCCATAATCTGAAAATATGAAGAAAAAAGTTGCTTTTAATACCAGTTTGGAATCGCTTTATTTTTAATGGAGGATCATTTTTTACCCACCATCTCATCGCCTGCAAACTACAGGAATCATGAAAAACTAAGCTTTATAGGACTTTTGTTTATAATAGAAATTTGAACCTATAATAAGCAAATATGTTAGCTACACGTTTGGGTGAACTCCGGGGCACTAAAAAAAAAAAAAAAATACGTTTTAGGATTCCCTTGAGACTGTATTTTCTCTTTATTCAGATTTCTTTTCTAATGAAATGAAAATAATAATGGGGAAGAAATAGAAAACACCAACTAGTACTAAAAGTGAACTTACCAGCCTGGGCAACATAGTAAAACCCCGTCTCCACAAAAAATACAGAAGTTAACCAGGCATGGTAGCATGTGACAGTAGTCCCAGCCTCTTGGTGGGCAGGGGGAAGGGGTGCGTCTGAGGCAGGAGGATCACTTGAGCTCAGGAGGTCAAGACTGCAGTCATCCATGATCATACCACTGTAGTCCAATCTGGGTAACAGAGTGAGACCCTGTCTCAAAAAAAATAAGTGATTTTAGCTGTGGGAGAAACTGCCTCCTCTGTATCACTTTCAAGGGCACCTTTTTATCTGTTTTCAGGGCACTTTTTAATCTGTTTTCTTAGTTAAAAATAAGAGTGAAGGTTGGAAACACCTCCCCATATTCATCTGTAGCTGATTGATACTCTTTTTGGAATAGATTCCTACTTTGAAATCCCATGGGATATTTCTGGTAAGGCATGACATTCCAGGTTTATGGCTGTAGGCTTATAATTAATAATTATTATAGAGAATTATTTTTTAACAGAGTGAAATCACCAGGGTTCAAATCTAGATTCTACCACTTATCTACTAATATAGTCCTTTGTATGCAAATTACCCTCTACAGGCATTGTCAATGCCCTATCTGTATATTGGGATTAATGTAATACCAACTTAGAGAGTACTCATGAGAATTAAATGTGTTCAGCTTGTAAAATATTTAGCATAATGCCTGGCGCTAGTAAATGCTCAGTAAATGCTAGCTATACAAAGTAACTTCAGAAATTTTAAGGGTAGCATTTGTTGAGTATTTCAAAAGCCAGCTGCTTAATATAGCAGGTTATGATTGGCCTCAGTTTCTGAAACTTACACTTTCAAAATAATGTCAGTTATTTAGGGACTTTCATGAAGTGCTCATTATTTTATTCAGGGAAGATCTGAATAGCAGAACCTACACCAAATACGGATGCTACAAAACTGAACGTAGTACATAAGAGCCTAGACCTCATGGAGTTTGGAAAGGAGTCAAGGTACCATGAGAGAAACAGAATGACCTGTTAACTTTTTTTCTGAAAAAGGTGACATTTAAGCTGAAACCAGAATGAGAAAGCCACTAAATTTGATATGAATACCATAGTTGGTTAATTAGTAGTTGGGCGGTGCATTTTTGCATATGCTAGAACGCTACTTATATTCTGAATTGACCATGTAGGTCTATAGTCTTTATAGTATTTTGGCTTTGATTTGAAGGAATATATATATATTATTTTTTTTGAGATGGAGTCTTGCTCTGTTGCCCAGGCTAGAGTGCAGTTGGTGCCATCTTGGCTCACTGCAAGCTCTACCTCCTGGATTCACCCCATTCTCCTGCCTCAGCCTCCCAAGTAGCTGGGACTACTGGCGCCCGCCACCACGCCCGGCTAATTTTTGTTTAGTAGAGACAGAGTTTCACCATGTTAGCCAGGATGATCTTGATCTCCTGACCTCGTGATCCACCCGCCTTGGCACTCCCAAAGTGCTGGGATTGTAGGCATGAGCCACCGCGCCCGGCCAGACTTGATAATGAACTAGCCCTCTGTGATTCATTTTCTGAAAATTTTTACAAGTTTTTATGATTTTTAAATTTTATGTTTTTGTTTTTATTTTGATGTGGTCAAATGACACTCTAGAAGAAACTGAAAAAGATTTTTAAAAAAATTATAGAGTGTTTACTCTCATTAGATTATATTTAATATTCTATTTCAATTTTTTTTACTTTTCTGTGGCTTAATTTTTGTTTGTTTAATTTATATTTAAAATGAATTTTTTAGTTAAATTTTATTTTTCCAGATAGCTAATAACCATTTGTCTTTGTGCCTTATAATGAAAAATCCTTTTACTAATTGTTTTTTTTACTTTTAATCCCGTAATTGATTTTTTTTTTTTTTTTTTTTTTTTTTGGTCAAGACGTTGTTTTTTTAAAATCTCTCTCCCAACTATTTCTTTTTCTTTTTTTTTTTCTTTCTTTTTTGAGATGGAGTCTTGCTCTGTTGCCTGGGCTGGAGTGCAGTGCCGCGATCTCAGCTCACTGCAGCCTCCGCCTCCCGGGTTCACGCCATTCTCCTGCCTCAGCCTCCTAAGTAGCTGGGACTACAAGTGCCCGCCACCACACCCATCTAATTTTTTGTATTTTTAGTAGAGACGGGGTTTCACTGTGTTAGCCAGGATGGTCTCGATCCCCTGACCTCGTGATCCGCCCACCTCGGCCTCCAAAAGTGCTGGGATTACAGGTGTGAGCCACCATGCCCAGCCACTCCCAGCTGTTTCTTTATATAAGTGTATCCTATCTTTTTTTCGAAAAACTAATATATTGGTATGGTCTTAATAAGCCGATTAGTTGATTATGGATTTAAATATGTTATAATATATAGTAAATTCAGTTCTTCCTCTTTTTTTCCTCCGTTAATTTCCTTAGCTTATTTTCATCTATTTGTTTCTTTAGATAAACTTTAGACACATTCTATCATGTTGCAAAAATAAATCTTAGTTTTGGTTAGAATTATATAAACCTATATGTTAACTGACATTTTTATAATTTCTACACAGAATTAATATTACTTAAAGAAACACTTGGGTGGGCGTGGTGGCTCATGCCTGTAATCCCAGCACTTTGGGAGGCCAAGGTAGGCAGATCACTCGAGGTCAGGAGTTCGAGACCAGCCTGGCCAACATGGGGATACCCCGTCTCTATTAAAACTACAAAAAATAATAGTAATAACCAGGCATGGTGGTGCATTCCTGTAATCCCAACTACTTGGGAGGCTGAGGCAGGAGAATTGCTTGAACCTGGGAGGCAGAGGTTGCAGTGAACCAAGATTGCGCCACTACACTCCAGCCTGGGTGACAGAGTAAGGCTCTGTCTCAAAACAAACAAACAAACAAAAAAACACTTATTGAGCTTCCAATGTTAATATTTTGTTGATATTGTTTACAGCGAAGTCACTTAGACTTTTTAAAGCCTTATGCTCCTAATATTCTTTAAGCTTTAAAAATTTTATTTTCCAGTTTTTCTATAATGAATGTATATTGTATTTATATTTACTTTCTATAATTCATAAGTTGTAAATGGTTCTTATATAAGATTCTTTTGTAACATTAAAATTCTTAATAAATCACTGATATGTGATAACCTTAGGAAGTATGTAGTATTATGTTTAAGAAGTATTTAGGTTATATTTTATGTTAGTATAAAATGGATGAATATCATACACTAGACTTGAGAATATTAACCCTAAGCAGTATTAATGTTTTGTTTTCTTTTACTTTTTTACTTCACAGTGATGCGGCTAACTAAGCCTACTTTATTCACCAATATCCCAGTAACATGTGAAGAGAAAGACTTACCTGGTATGGCACATGCTTTCCTCTATTTGCACCTAGGGAAAAGTTGAAACCTGAATTGCCTACATTAACTTGGACTAAGCCTAGCCCTATGAATTTTATGCTAACCATTTGCTGGATTCTTTGTTGCCTATTTTTGTATCATGTGAAAGGTGGCCATCTGAGTAACAGGTCTTACTTATACTCTGCAAGTCCAAATTATGTTGATATCATATGGCAATATGAGACTTACAGTTTAAGATACATTCATATTCATAATACTATTAAAATTGCCTTCATCCTCAAGTGTTGCGTATATATATTAGCATTCCCTTTGTTTAGAATTGTTGGGGCTTTCTCTAGTATATTTTCTATCTCATGACGTACATTTTTCTTTGTTTCTAAAGTGTCCATTCCCTGTGAGATCAGAATTTTTTTGACATGATTTGTTGTATTAAAATCTAGAAGTTAGACTTTTTAAATATCATTTTTGACAAGAGGTTGTTTTTTAAAATATCTCTCCTAGTTCTTTATGTAAGAAAAAGTTATTTAAAAGGTAGATGTTAGAATTTTATGTTTTTCTCTTCATTCAGGAGATCTCTTTAACCAACTGATGAGAGATGATCCTTCAACTGTTAATGGTGCAGAAGTTTTAATGTTGGGAGAAATGCTGACTTTACCACAAAATTTTGGGTAAGAATGACATATTCACATAAGAAACCTTGTAAAGCCTACAAATTATGTTTTCAAAAAAGAACTGTGGGATGGGGAAACGCTCATGATACATTTCCTTTCTTTTTTTTTTTTTTTTTTTTCCTGAGATGGAGTCTCGCACTGTTGCCCAGGCTGGAGTGCAGTGGTGCCATCTCTGCTTAGTGTAGCCTCCACCCACTGGGTTCAAGCCATTCTCCTGCCTCAGCCTCCCCAGTAGCTAGGACTACAGGCGCACACACTGCCCTGGCTAATTTTTGTGTTTTTAATAGAGACCGTGTTTCGCTATGTTAGCCAGGCTGACCTTGAACTCCTGATCTCAGGTGATCCACCCACCTCAGCCTCCCAAAGTGCTGGGATTACAGGCGTGAGCCACCACGCCTAGCACATGATACATTTGAGGGGCAAAAAGATTATTAAAAAATCATACTATGTGATTATGGCTTTCTGTTTTTTTTAAAAAAAGATATATACCAAAATAAAATGTTAATAGTGGTTCCTAGGATAATAGAATTTTTACTTTCTTCTTTAGATCTTACTATATTTTTAATGGCCATATACTCTTTTAACTACTAATGTAAATGTCTTTTTCAGAAGCCACTCTGTTTTTTGCCTCATAGTCCTCTCCCAAAATGAGTTATCAGACTTGGCAGCTAATTAGGAACTCTAAATTTATTTCTTCTGTTATTCTTAGCTGTATTATTATTCTAGATTAATAATAAGGTAGAAGCCTCTGGTTCCACTCTGTTTGTAACAGACAGAATTTGAGACAGAAGGAAATTTTACAGATTGTTTTTATAGTTTTACAGAATGTGGTCATTGACTAGCGTCTTGAAAAACTGTAAAAAATATAAAACTATGTAAGATAAAACCACTGGTGATTTTTATTCAGATAACTTAGGAAATAAAATAAATTGGTAAAAATACCCCAATATCAATAACTTAGAGCTCTTCTAGATTCAGGGAATAAGTTATTGCAAGAATAGAAACTTGGCTTTCTCTAACCTATTCAAATACAAATCCTGACTTTAGCATAGATCTAATTTCAGTGAGTCTTATCTCTAGTGAGGCTGGCATTTTGTACAGTAAAGGCCAAATATATCATGTTTTATAGATTACATCCATATTTTGATTTGCACTAGGTAATGAATGAGTGGCCTAGTGTGAACAAAGGAATGTTGAAACAATATTTCACCAGATTTCTATCCTTTAGTAAATGTTTCTCCATTTGAAGTCCTTAGTGATTCTCACACAGAATATCTAATGTAAAACCTGAATGGGGCCAGATGCGGTGGCTCATGCCTGTAATCCCAGCACTCTGAGAGGCCGAGGCGGGCGGATCATAAAGTCAGGAGATCGAGACCATCATGACTAACACGGTGAAACCCCATCTCTACCAAACATACAAAAAATTAGCTGGGGATGGTGGCAGGCACCTGTAGTCTCAGCTACTTGGGAGGCTGAGGCAGGAGAATGGGGTGAACCTGGGAGATGGAGCTTGCAGTGAGCCAAGATCGCGCCACTGCACTCCAGCCTGGACAACAGAGCGAGACTCAGTCTCAAAAAAAAAAAAAAAGAAACGTGAATGGATTTCTGCCTAAATAAATACTTGTTTTATTTTACAGGAATATATTTTTGGGAGAGACCTTTTCCAGTTATATCAGCGTTCATAATGATAGCAATCAAGTTGTAAAAGACATATTGGTAAAAGTAAGTAACATTCTTACTTGGGATGTATTTTACTCTTTAACAAAGGTTTTTTTTAGGCCGGGCATGGTGGCTCATACCTGTAATCCCAGCAGTTTAGGAGGCTGAGGCAGGTGGATCACCTGAGGTCAGAAGTTCAAGACCAGCCTGGCCAACGTGGTGAAACCCCATCTCTACTAAAAATACAAAAATGAGCTGGGTGTGGTGGTGCACACCTGCAGTCCCAGCTACTTGGCAGGCTAAGGCAGGAGAGGCTAAGGCAGGAGAGGCTAAGGCTTGAACCCAGGAGGTGAAGGTTGCAGTGAGCCAAGATCATGCCACTGCACTCCAGCCTGGGTGACAGAGTTAGACTCCATCTCAAATAAAAAAAAAAGAAAGAAAAAGAAAAAAGGTTTTTTTATATCTATTATGTTGTTGGTACTTCATTAAATGCATGTTTGATACAATAATTTTTAATTGTCATTAACAAGCACTAATGAATGCCTAAAGTTATAAAGTATTATGCTAGGCATGAAACCATTTTTCCTATTCAACAAGGTTTGTGATTGCTTGCGTGAGAAAATGTACTAGTCAAAGGTAAACAGCAGTTTAGCATTTGTTAACGTATGTCATAAACATAGAGGAGGAAAGATCACTGGAGATTATATCAATCAGGGAGGTTTTTTAGGGGAGAGGGAAAGCGAAGAGGATCTTGAAAGAATGGAAGAATACAGATAACAAGGCAAGGGAGACATGGTAATCAGAGGCAGAGACATAGCGATACACATGTGTTCTTTTAACAGGGACCATATTTCACTTGGTAAGAGGAGGTAAGGTGGTACAGAAGAATAGTAGCTGTATTAGTCTATTTTCATGCTGCTGATAAAGTCATACCCAAGACTGGGCAATTTACCAAAGAAAGAGGTTTAATGGACTTACAGTTCCATGTGACTGGGGACAATCGTGGTGGAAGGCAAGGAGGAGCAAGTCATGTCTCACGTGGATGGCAGCGGGCAAAGAGAGAGAGCTTGTGCGGGGAAACTCCCGTTTTTCAAACCATCAGATCTCAGCCTGTCGTAGTGACTCATGCCTGTAATCCCAGCACTTTGGGAGGCTGAGGTGGGCGGATCACTTGAGGTCAGGAGTTCAAGACCATCCTGCCCAATGTGGTGAAACACCATTTCTACTAAAAATACAAAAATTAGCCAGGAGGGTTGGCGTGTGCCTGTAATCCCAGCTACCTGGGAAGCTGAGGCAGTAGGATCACTTGAACCTGGGAGACTGAGGTTGCAGTCAGCCAAGACTGTGCCACTGCACTCCTGGCTGACTGGGTGACAGAGCAACACTCCATCCCCCCAAAAATAAAAATAAATAAAACCATCAGATCTCATGAGACTTATTGACTGTCATGAGAATAGCACAGGAAAGACCCACCCCCATGATTCAGTTATCTCCCACTAGGCCCCTCCCACGATACATGGGAATTACAGGAGCTACAAGATGAGATTTGGGTGGGGTCACAGAGCCAAACCATATCAGTAGCCGTACAGTAGAGCATCTTGAAAGCAGGCTAAGGTTTTTTTTAACCTTTCTTGAAAAATTATTTTTTAAAACAGACAAAAAAATTAATTAATTAAAGTAAAAAAACCAGGCCCAGCACAGTGGCTTATACCTGGAATCCCAACAATTTGGGAGGCTCTGGCAGAAGGATTGCTTGAGGCCAGGAGTTCAAGACCAGCCTGGGAAACATAACAAGACCCCCCATCTCTACAAACAATTTAAAAAGTAGTTGAGCATGCTGGCACACATCATTGGTCCCAGCTACTTTTGAAGCTGAAGCGGGAGGATTGTTTAAACCCAGGAGTTTGAGGCTGCAGTGAGTTTTGCCTGGGCACTCCAGCATGCACTACAGAACAAGACCCTGTCTCTGAAAAAAATTAAATAAAAAACAGCAGGCAGTTGGCTTTTGAGCACTCTTTGTGTTGGAAAGACTGATATGAGCACATTGTATGGCATGCTTTGTAGAAAATGGAACAGTTAGAAGACCCTTGAAATAGTGTAGAGATTAAAAGATAGAATATGCTAACTCAGCTAACAACTTGAAATTTCTTCAAAAGAATAAGTGCGAAAAGAAGGTGAAAATTCACAGTATGTGGGGAAGAAGTTGTAAAACCTGTCTTAGAGTGATGAGTTCAGGTAATTGGAGTATTGCCAGAAAGGACCTCTAATTAGAATGAGTTCGAAAATGATCATAGAGTTTTAAAGTTAACAAAGATGTTAGAGAACAGACTCAACTTCCAGAAACTGGATGCAAATTTGTGCATACACGTACATATGTTTATCATATATAGATGGAGTCTCTGCCTTTCATTAAATTAGGGGTTGACAAACTATAGCCTAAAGACCGAATTTCATCCATTGTCTGTTTTTATAAGGCTTTTGAACTAAGAATGGTTTTCACATTTTCAAATTATTGAAAATAATATTTTATGACATGTGAAAATTACATGAAATTCAAATTTCAGGCCAGGTGTGGTGGCCCATGCCTATAATCCCAGTGCTTTGGGATCCAAGGCAGGAAGATTGCTTCAGGCTAAGAGTTTGAGCCCAACCTACACAGCATTGCAAGGCACCGCCTCTGCAAACAAACAAACAAAAAAGAAATTCAAATGTTAGTGTTCATAAATAAAGTTTTATTGACACACAGCCATACTCATTTGTTTATGTATTATCTGTGGCTGATTTCCAGCTACCACAGCAGTTGTATAGTTGAAACATAGATTGTATGGCCTCCGAAATCTAAAATATTTGCTAATGACTTCAGAGAAAAAGTTTGCCAACCTCTGCATTCGATTGTTAAAAGATCTGATTTTCAAAAGTTTGAGAACATAACTTTTGTCTTTCTACGTTGTAAATACTGAATTTCTTGGCAATTTAGTAAATACTGGCAAATTCAGTAAATTCAGCAAATGTTGAATTTATTTTTATAAGATAGATTAATAAAATAGCAAAGGCATATACTTTAAGATGTCAGTACTATTATAAAGATCAAAGAATACAGTAGTACGCATGTTCTAAAACATGATTTTATATTTCATGCCTTTATTCACTTTTATAAAAATAATTAGTAGTACTGTGCAGTACTCACCAGGGGTCTTCTTAGGCTCAACTAGACATTCAGACTCATGATATATAAAACGCTATTTTTCTTTTTACTTTTTTTTGAGACAGTCTCTAGTTCATCTAGTTCTGTCACCCAAGCTGGAGTGCAGTAGCATGATCATAGCTCACTGTAGCCTCAAACTCACGGGCTCAAGGGATCCTACTGCCTTAGCCTTCTGAGTAACTGGGACTGCAGGGTTGTGACACTATCCCTGTCTAATTTTTTAATAGTTTCTAGAGACAAGGTCTCGCTGTGTTGCTCAAGCAGGTCTTGAACTCCTGAACTCAAGCAATCCTCCCGCGTCAGCCTCCCAAAGTGCTGAGATTACACATGTGAGTTACCGCACCTAGCCAGATAAGTTAATTGTGACATCAGAATCACTTAAGAGGATATAGGTCATGAAGCACAGAATGATATTGACCTGTATTTGTGTGAGTGTTGTCTTTTGATCAGGTTTTAGGTGTCAGTATTATGGTTGCTTAATAAAAGATTTCGAACATTTTTCCAATATTTTCGGTGCTTTGGAACAATATGTGCATCAGGCTAAACTTAGTGGCTCATGGCTGTAATCCAGCACTTTGGGAGACCAAGGCAGGAGGAGCCCTTGAATCCAGGAGGCTCCCCAGGACTCACCTGGGGAATATAATGATCAAAGTCTCTACAAAAAAAAAAATTTAAAAATTCTCTGGCCATCGTGGCACATACTTGTATTCCTAGCTACTTGGGAGGCTGAGGCAGGAGGATCACTTGAACTCATGAATTTGAGGCTGCAGTAAGCTATGATTATGCCACTGCATTCTAGCCTGGATGACAGGACAATACCCTGTCTGAGAAAACAAAACAAAACAAATACAGAGAACTGTGGATCATTTAGATTACCTATTCTTTGAAGGATTTATAGAATTCCCTGCAAAATCATATGAGCTAGTTCTTTTCTTTTTTAAAATGGAGAAACTCCCTGATAACATTTTTTCTTTTTTTTTTCCCCTATGGATACTAGTATGTTTAAGCAGTTCACCTCTAAGGGTGTGAGTTTTGTTAAACTGTTTTTTTCTAGGAAATAATCCATTTCATTTCATATAGATTTTCACATTTATCTGCATAGAGGTCTGTAAAGTAGGCTCTTAAAATTGTCTTCTGTTGGCTGGGTGCAGTGGCTCATGCCTGTAATCCCAGCACTTTGGGAGGCCGAGGCAGGTGGATCATCTGAGGTCAGGAGTTTGAGACCAGCCTGGCCAAAATGGTGAAACCTCATCTCTACTAAAAATACAAAAATTAGCGGGGCGTGGTCACAGGTGCCTGTAATCCTAGCTTCTTGGGAGGCAGGAGAATCGCTTGAACTCAGGAGGTGGAGATTGCGGTGAGCCGAGATCACACCACTGTACTCCAGCCTGGGCGACAGAGTGAGACTCCATCTAAAAAAAAACAAAAAAAAAATTTCTTCTGTTGCAATATTTTCCCCTGGTCATTTCTTAGGTTTGATTTTTTCGTGATTAAGTTAGCTAGCTCTTGGTTTGTGTATTTTAACTTCAAAAAAAAAATCCAAGACTTAAAAAATTATTGTATCCAATATGCTTCCATTCTCTATTAATTTGTGCTTTTATTTCTTTTATTATGCTTCTGTTTATTTTCTTTATTTTTCTACCATTTTTGAGCTAAGAATTTTATTATTTTATTTTGATTCTTTGATTTATATTGATAAAAGTTAATTTTCCTGTGATTCACTGCTTTTTATATCCTGAAGATTCAAATGCATAGCATTTTTATTCTCAATACTTTTGATTTTAAGAGGTGAGGTTTCACTCTGTTGCCCAGGCTGGTGCAATCCTAGTTCACTGTAGCCTCCACCTCCAAGGCTCAAGCAATCCTCCCATCTTAGCCTCCTGAGTTGCTGTAACTGCAGTTGCATACCACCACACCTGGCTAATTATTTTTTATTTTTTAGAGACAGCATCTCACTCTGTTGCCCAATGTAGTGAGACCAAATTTAAAAATAAATTAAAAATTAAAAATTGATGGTGGAAGGAAGAGCTGATGCCTACTGTACAATGATAAAGAGGTAGTAACAGTGTTGAACATCCCAAACACCATTCTTACATTAAGACAAGATAATAAGTGTGAAAATACTTTGCAGAATTGCCCAAATTAAAAACCTTTTTCATATTTTTGTCATTACTTTTTAAAGAATTCTGTAATTTCATTTGTATTTCACCTTCTACCCAAGGGTTGTTTAATGCAAAAGGTTTTTAGGGGGAAAGGTTTATTTTTTTTTTTCTATTTTAATTGTTGTTCGTAATTTATAGTTTTATTACATTCCAATCAGTGTTGTTCTTGTAATATTTCAGCTTATGGAACTTAACTGATGATGTCTTATGACCCCATATTGATTTTTTATGAATTTTCTATGTGTACTTGAGAAGAATGTGTATGCTTTAGATATTCATAAGAGCTGTTTTATCATTTGTGTTATTTAGGGCTAGATTCTATATCTTTATTTATTGTCAACTTCATCTGTCTTATACTAAGAGTGCATGTTTGTCTCTTATTACTAGTGTATTTCTATTTACATCTTCTAAAATCTCATATATTTTGCTTTATAAAGGCTATGCTGTTTCGGCCGGGCGCGGTGGCTCACGCCTGTAATCCCAGCACTTTTGGAGGCTGAGGTGGGCGGATCACAAGGTCAGGAGATCTAGACCATCCTGGCTAACACGGTGAAACCCCACCTCTACTAAAAATACAAAAATTAGCTGGGCATGGTAGCGGGCACCTGTAGTCCCAGCTACTCGGGAGGCTGAGGCAGGAGAAAGATGTGAACCTGGGAGGCAGAGCTTGCAGTGAGCTGACATCACCCTACTGCACTCCAGCCTGGGTGACAAAGCAAGATTCCATCTCAAAAAACAAAACAAAACAAAACAAAAAAGACTATGCTGTTTCGTGCATATTTATAATTATTGTTAGTCATTGTGAATTGTGGCTTTTAATATTAAAAATATTCAAGTAGATTGCTCAGGAAGATTTTGTGGGTACAATATTCTCTGAGCCCTTGTTCAAAGGTGTTTTTCAATATTTGAAGTTCAGTTTGGCTAGATTTAAAATCTTTTCTTTACATTTTTATTTCCTTATGTTTTTTGAAAATGCTACTCCTTTATTGCTCAGCTGTGTATGTTGTTTTTGAGAGGATTGAAGCCAGTCTAATTCTCTTCCCTTGTAAGTTATTTCATGATTTTTCCTGGAGGTCCTGGTGATTTTTTTTCTGTATGTCTCAAAATTGGTCTTTGGGTGTGATTTCCCTGATTCCAAGTAGACCCTTTCAATGTGGGTCTGCAACCTCCACCTCCTGTGTCCAAGTGATTCTCCTGCCTCAGGCTCGCAAGTAGCTGGGATTACAGGAACATGCCACCATGTCTGGCCAATTATACCAAACTCTTGGTGTCCTCTGAAGACATCTGGAGCTTTCACACTGGTGGTATTTTGCTAGCTCTGTTCAACTTACTTAGAGTTCCCCCTAACCTCTTTCCTCTGCCTTTTCAAATCCTACTTATCAAAAGCCGCAGTTATGATTAAAATGACACATAAGACACACAGGAAAACATATTTAACAGAAAGCCAATGGATTCAATTATTTCTTTTTTTTTCTAATTTCAAAAATGTTTAAGAATTTATATCTGGGTGCAGTGGCTCACGCCTGTATTCCCAGCACTTTGGGAGCCCGAGGCAGCAGATCACTTGAGACCAGAAGTTTGAGACCAGCCTAGCCAAGATGGTGAAACCCCGTCTCTGCTAAAAATACAAAATTTAGCCAGCCTTAGTGACACTTGCCTGTAATCCCAGCTACTGGGGAGGCTGAGGCAGGAGAATCACTTGAACCTGGGAGGTAGAGGTTGCAGTGAACCAAGATAGTGAACCAAGCAACCTGGGTGACATCCAACCTGGGTGACAGAGCGAGACTCCGTCTCAAAAAAAAAAAAAGTGTTTAAGAATTTTTAGGTCTGGGAGTGGTGGCTTATGCCTGTAATCTCAGCACTTTGGGAGGCTGAGGCAGGCAGATCACCTAAGGCCAGGAGTTCAAGACGAGCCTGGCCAACATGGTGAAACTCCGTCTCTATTAAAAATACAAAAAATTAGCTAGACATGATGATGGGTGCCTGTAATCCCAGCTACTTGGGAGGCTGAGGCAGGAGAATCGCTTGAACCTGGGAGGCTGAGGTTGCAGTCAGCTGAGATCATGCCATTGCACTCCAGCCTGGGCAAGAAGAGTGAAACTCTTTTTAAAAAAAAAAAGAATTTTGAATCTTAGCTTTGTTACTTATGATTTGTAAAACCTTGGGAAAGTTGTTACTTTTCTGTGCCTTGGTTTCATTGTCTATGAAATGGGGATAATACTAATACCTCCTTCAGGATATGGGGATTAAATGAGTAATATGCTTAGAACAGGGCCTTGCACATAATAGGTACCAAATAAATGTGAGCTACTATTGTTTTATAACTGAGTATAACAAAATACACAGCACTAATAAATAGCACATTTCAAAGTGACTAACATAAGATTGTTGGGTTAGAATTAACTGCAAAACTGTTTTTTAAAAGAAACAAAAACTTAAAAGAATCCTAGCTCTCATGTAAAAACCTCCACTAATTCCCATGACCTAATGTGATCCTTGCTTTCCCTCAATTTTTTTTTGCCTTGGAAGTTTTGTCATAAATTCATCCATTCATTATTCAACAAATATTGATTAATTGCCTACTATGTGCCAGGCACCGTGCTATAGTGGTGAGCAAGAGAAGACGAGGTTCCTGCCTCCATAGACTTTTCTGGTAGGGGAGACAGAAAGAAACAGGTAAACAAAGTCATAAATAAGGTACTTATAGATTGTGATAAATGTTACAAAGGAAGCAAAAGTTGAATGTGATAGAAAGTAATTGAGATAAGGGAGGGAGGGTAGTTTTAAGACAGAGTGATAAATGTTCAAAAGGAGAAAAAAGAAATATAATGGAGCATCATCGGGTGGACGGAAAGTCCTACTTTAGACGAGGTAGTGCTTTCTTAGTTGGTGACTTTTTATGTCATTTTCTAGTTATCTTATAAACTAATTGGTCTCTGACATACAATTTTGTTTTGGACAATTACTTATCTTTTAGTGTTATATACTAGCACATACATGCATATGTATTTGTTTTAGTGAAGTCCATCTGAATATATATTTAAAAGCCATGTGTTCATACTGGTGCCTCAGATTCCAGTCCACCACCAAAGACTCACTGTAGCTTCCCCCACTTTCCTTATTTGTACCGTTTTTTTTTCTCTGAAGGTGAGAAACCTGTCTCTTGTAATCCACAATGTAGTATTTTGTTTTGTCCTAGTATACATATAAAATAGTGAAAAAACACACGTGTCGTAGCTATAGTACATTTATGTACCATTCTTTTTGTCTTTAGCCATAGATTACAGTTAAGATTTTGTTTTCCAAACTTACTTAGGTTAGTTCCACTTTTCCCCTTCCCTCTGCCATAGCGCAATTGTGGTCTTCATTTGTAATACAGTTAGGTTCATTTGTTACTGTTTGTATTCCATTTTGGATTCTCCCTAATTCCTGCCTGATTTTATTTATTTATTTATTTATTTATTGGTGCGGGAGTGTGCTATTGCCATGGTTCTAAGCATCAGAGCTATACAGAAAGGTTTACACAGAAAAGTGTTGCTCCCCTTTTCATCCTTCTTTCCTTATTCTTATTCCCCTATTCTTTCCACTCATAGCCATGCACACCCTGTAGGTAACCAGTCTCATTTGGATTCTTTTTTTTTTTTTTAACTTTCTTTCAAGGCTGATCTTCAGACAAGTTCTCAGCGTTTAAATCTTTCAGCCTCCAATGCTGCAGTGGCTGAACTTAAACCGGATTGTTGTATTGATGATGTCATACATCATGAAGTCAAGGAAATTGGAACACACATGTAAGGATTAGTTTTATTAGGTCTCAAAGGTTTTTACTTATATATGCCTTTATTTGAAATTTTTGCTTTCTTTTCATTCACCATGAAGCGTAGGAACCTACTTCAAAAGGAATTTTATGTTCTGTGTTTACATGTTTACCAGAAATAAAGTTTAAACCAAATGTTTGTTTGTAGGGAAAAAATCCAATTTATCATCATTTATCTCGTTTTATTTTTTTTACATTTACAATCTCTAAAAAATGAAAAGCTGTGCAAAATGTTTAAAACCCAGATAGCACTCTAAAAGTATATTTATTGTGTTTTGAAATGCTAATAACTGATGTTATAGTGTTTATTTTTAAATTCAGTTTTTCAGTTTTGTATTTAACCAGGTATATACACTCTACCCTGACAACTCAGAAATATAGGACCAAAATAAGGCACACTGTGAAAAAAAAATCAAATTCTGTATTCCTGTCGTGTGTATGTATTTGAATGTAAATGCTCTATTTTTCTTTCAGTCTGAGGGGCAATATGAAAATTTTAGCCATCTGAAGTAATTTTAGACTTCTTCATCTCCTTTAGAAACCCTACATCCAATCAGTTCACAAAATCCTATTAATTCTCCTGAATATCTCTCATTTGTCTCTTCTTCATCTCTGCTTTACCACTTTTGCTCTTCTCTTTGTGCCCATGAAAGTATATAATATTAGCTATTATTTAATCAGTTAATTTTGGTGACAAGCTCTGTTGTAGGGACTTTTTCATGTATATTCTTTGGGCTTTGGAGTCAGACTTCCTAGAATTCAAATTTCAACTTCATCATTTGTTATGTGATCTTGTATAAGTCACTTAATTCTTCTATGATCTCCCATTGTCCTTAGGAAATTCTGACTTTGCAAATGTTTTACAAAGCTCTCTGCAACCTAATTCTTACCAGCCACAGTAGTTCTTACCATCACCACCCATCCCTCCCTCTCCACCCTGCAGTCATATTGGACTTCTTTTATCTCCAGACTCCAGACTGAAATGCATTCTTCCCTTACAAAGGAATACTATGGCATTTTATGTAGTTTATTTCTACTTCTCTTTCATATCTCAGATTCAGCACTACTTCCTCAAGAAGTTTTCCTAACCTCCTAGACTGGATTAAATACCACTTTTTGTATCTTCCATAGCATCCACCATTTATCATTTTAAAAAATGTTTCATACTTATAATTACTTATTCAGTGCCTGCCTTTCCCATTAAAGTATGAGATCCATGATATCTGCTATAGTCCAAGGATCTAGCAGAGAACAGAAGTCAGTATTTATTGAAATGATAATAAATGTGTAAAATCTCCATTTTACAGAAAATGAGACTTGTACAATTAAGCAGCTAGTTTAGAAGACATAAAACTCAAATCCAAACCTAGTTTTAGATCCTCTACCTTGCTATGCTATTCTTACTGTGAGCACTTTGAAGGCAGGTATTGTGTTTCGATCAGTCCTCTTCCTAGCCCCTGCCTTACTTAGTCAGCACCAGGCAGCACACGTATAAAGAAGAAATTAAATTACCTGCTAATGTTACCACCCCATATAACCAACCACTATTAAAATATTATTATATTTCTTTCTAGTCTTTTTGCATACATATGTAAAATAACTATGTATAAATAATTTAATATTTTATAAAATTTTGGCCATATTGTTCATAGTTTTATTTTTTAAAATACACTATTAACATTTTCACACGTATCAGACAGTATTTTTTGAAAACACAGTTTTTGGGCCGGATGTGGTGGCTCACGCCTATAATCTCCAATAATTTGGGAAGCTAAGGTGGGCAGATCGCTTGAGCTCAGAAGCTCAAGACCAGCCTGGAAAACATGGTGAAATCCCATCTTTACAAAAAATACAAAAATTAGCCAGACGTGGTGGAGCATGCCTGTAGTCTCAGGTAGTTGGGAGACTGAGGTGGGAGGATCGCTTGAGCCCAGGAAATCAAGGCTGCAGTGATCCATGATCACGCCACTGCTCTCCAGCCTGGGTGATGGTGGGACCCTGCCTCAAAAAAAAAAAAAAAAAAAATTTTTTTTTTACATGACTCCATCTAACACAATTGTACAGTGTCTTCTGTTTACTGTAATGTTGGATATTTATTTTCAGTTTTTCACTGTTAAAAGTAACACAGAGATGAACACCTTAATGTGTCCTCGTGGAATATTTGAAGTGGTTTTACTTTGAGAACATATAAGCATTTTTAAGATTCTTTTACTAAAAGATTGTTTTCCAAATTTCTTCCAACCACTAGCAGTGTAGAAAGACAGTTTCTCTAAACCCTCACCAATTCTGAGATCACTTATAAAGAATTTTTGCCAAATCTTGATAAACAGAAAAATATTACCTCATTATTTTAATGTGTTTCTCTGAATGCTTGTGAGGCTGAACATTTTCACATTTTTGTTAGCCAGTTATGGTACTGTGATTTAACTGTGCTTTCCTTTTCTCAAGTTTTCAGTGATATATTGGTGTTTTGCTTATTAACTTATGGGAACCCTTTGTCATATTAAGTATTAAAATGTAACCACTTTCTTGTATTGTTACAAGTATTTTATGCTAGTTTGTTTCTGCTTTGTAATTGTTTTAGTGTTTTTGATTCAACTTAAAATTTTTCACGGCCGGGGCGGTGGCTCAAGCCTCTAATCCCAGCACTTTGGGAGGCCGAGACGGGCGGATCACGAGGTCAGGAGATCGAAACCATCCTGGCTAACACGATGAAACCCCGTCTCTACTAAAAAATACAAAAAAACTAGCCGGGCGAGGTGGCGGGTGCCTGTAGTCCCAGCTACTCGGGAGGCTGAGGC